CCAGCGGCGTGCCAAAACGTCCTTCCTAAGGAGAAGTCCAGCACTGGACTATTAAAATCTGTGATGTGATACTTATTTTATAAATATGAAAGTGAGTTTGTTTGTTTCTTACGCCTTAACAACTAAACCGATTTTAAAAATTATTCTAGTGGAAAGCTACATTATCTGCGAGTAACATAGACTACTTTTTACCCCGAAAACCGACTAAGCCGACAAGTCACTGTACTTATAAACAAAACTGAATTACAGTATCGCATGTAATTTAACGTGTCAGGGTCTTAAATTGGTGTTCAGACTGCGTGTGCACATAACACACAAATTAGTAGAAGGTACAAAATGATTGCTTAGTGCAATCTTGCAGTTCTTTGCATTCATTTTGATAAAAGTCTGATTTAAAACAACGGTTGGAATTTCAGCTGCTTAATAATCGCACAGTCGCATGTCTTCGAATGTTCTGGATTCAATCATGTCATTCACAGTAATTGTTCAGTTTTGATCATTGTCTTTGTTGATTTCTGCGTATAGTGCCATTCTGAACAATGTTTCTGTTGTCGAAGAAAAACAGTCGGATAAGACGAAAAGGATTTTGTCTGACGAGACTTTTCGTCACTTAACTGCCACTGATACACTCACACAAAGTGTGTCCCACACTTTGTCTGATCAGCAAATTGTTGTTCTGAGTCTGGGTGTTCTTTGTGTCCGTTCTATGTGTGTCCATTTCTGTGTCCCTCGCGTCACAGGATATATTGCTAATGCGGGAGTTGTTTTTTATAAATATAAAATTCCTAAATAATAAGTAAAAGAATTTTTCATTTGAAAATGCAATGTCGACCTTTGCCCCCCCCCTCCAATTTTCCTCCTCCTAATTTCACTCAATCAGTGAAGAGCAATGAAAGAATAGCTTAACAGCGGTTTTCTGTGAGGCCGAGGTAGCACTCCGGCCTAGCCGTACCATATGAGCATAATGGCTCTCTCACGGAAGCATTATGTTGGTTTCCCTTCTCGCGCTAGTTACTAGACCAGGGATTCCTAAATTGGTCGACATCGACCACTTGGGGTTAAAATCTATTTCCAAAAATCGAACCTTATTAATTAACTCAAGTTTTTATTTAAAACTTTAAAGAAACTGTGTAATTTGTGTTAATGTGGAATGAGAATGACTTATATTTTAGTAGGAAGTATCATTGTTGTACTTTAAAAAAACCAAACAAATCGATAAGCATGCAGTAATTTGGCTATGGGAGTCTGAGGTATCAGTTAATTTTAGAAAAAGGGTCTCTTGCCCAAAATAGTTTGGGAATCCCTGTACTAGACAATACTATGATGTCATGTATACAGCCTATAGTCTATTTGAGAAATTTGATGACGGAAGAGAACATCAGGCAAATAAATTGAAGGTGAGACTTTGCTTTGCTTCGAAGACACCGGGGTCCCTAAGGACAAGGACTGGGTACCAAATGGCCAAAGTATTGTTATTACATTTTAACAAAATGAATTTGAAGGGTATTTCTTTCGATAGTCGAATTTAAATAAATCCTTGGGTATTTTGTAGCATAATTTTTAAAGTACCTTTTTTTTACGTGTGCAAACCCCCTTGTTTTCATAATAATTTTTTAGTAGTTAAATATATTTTTAATTAATAATTTTTTTTTTAAAGTACCTATTTTAAAGAAGACTATTTAACACCACGATACGACGCTTGTAGGTTAAGCAGTAACCATAAACGTGGATGAAACTAAAAGGTAAGGCTAGTAGGAAATATAGTAGTTATCTACTATATAACCTACTAGAAAAAGGTTAGTATATCGCTATTATGGAAATTTAATTGTGACTACACGTTCGTACTATCTATCTATTTACGGTATACTCATATATATATAAATAGTTGGTTTGGGACACTGTCGTAACTTCTAGATACAATCATAACAAAATAAATAGACTTTAAAGTATGTCACATATATTAAATCTACGCAGGTCAAATTGTTCAATGATTGTACTTTGAACTCTCAGCCTGCGTAGACGCAAAGTCGGCCGGAAGAGGTACTTTAGCAAATGAGGATCATTGCCAATGTTGTAAGCAACGAGCGAGTGGTATGTGAATGCATTTCGGGATGTAATTGCAGCCAAGTCTCGCTAGAACCTAAGATATTTTCTCTTTTTATATGCAATCTTTGTAATAAAACATTAAATACTAATTAAGATAACACCACTTTTTTACAATAAAAGGTGAGTTAACTGGAAAGATAGATGTCGTAACATCAATACACATAATTATTACCAGGTAGAGGAGGGAAGGTTAATTAGGGGAGGGGGGCATTGCTGGCTAGAGTGACGAAAAAGGGTGGACGGAGGATTTGTATTTATTTAATATATTATTAATAACTATACTAAGATTAACTGACATATCTTATTTAAGCGAGGTTCATAGAAAATATTTACAGTATGAAAGTATTTAATGTAAGTACTTAAGTCGTTATTAAGTTAAATGAACATGATATTATGCGTACATCGTAAAAATAAACACATTAGCGAATGTAGTCTAAACTCGTTTCATATAAATGAAACTATAAATAGCATGCCCACGTTAAACCAAATGTCAACAAATAAACGGCACTTATTGATCATCAGTTCGCACGGCAAAATTCGCATTATTTGTGTTTATTTACTTGCATAAATAGAAGAATTGTTTCTTGTAGAAACATTTTTATTGTCAATTGTCAACCAGCAGTACTCTGCCACGCTTTATTGTGGTACATTTCGGTTTCATTGATGAGAAATTAAGAATAAAACTGACTCCAAAAGAGACAAAAACAATCTTTGAAGCGGTTTGTATTTCGTATCAAAATCTGATTCAATTGCTGCAGAACTTCTTGAGTTTTTGAAGCGTTGGTATACAAATCAACTTAATATTTTTATATAATACATACCTATAGATTACTTAACATACATATTATATGGACCACGTCTACATAAATACTCGCTGACCTGCACAACCTTGTCTGCGTCTATTAAAAGGAATAAGTTTTCCCCGTTTCTGCAACACTTTTCATTGATACTTGTATTAGTCGTAGCGTACTGTCATATAGAATAAAGCCTTTCTCGATAAATGGCTATTCAACACTAAAATAATTTTAATATTCAAACCAGTAGTTTCTGAGATAGCGCGTCCAACCCAACAAACAAACAAACTCTACAACTTTATAATATTAGTACAGATATACAAATGCTTAAGCTCAATTCCTAAGTTCTGCCTTCTCCAGTGAATATGATGGCTGAGTTTTATCATTACTCAAGAAGATTTTAACAGCTAAAAGCGATATAATTTATACTGACTAGACTAGATTATTAGATACTTTAAATACCGTAAATTACAATAATCCAGGTCTTTTCGATCTTCGGTCTTTTCGGTCATTGCCATCGTTAAGTTTTAACGATGGCAATGACAGAAAGGAAAGGCAAAAACTGCAAATTGTAACTGTACTGAAACTGTAAATACATATCCCTACAAACTGCATTTTTTTTTATTTGTAAGGACATGTATTTACATATCCCTACAAATTTGCAGTCTTTTCCTTTGTTATATAATTTGATTGATTGTAAGAGGGTAATTTGAAAAAGATCTATTCGATACTTGAACATACCGTAACAAAAACTTAGCGTTACAAAGTCGTAACGGTATATATACAAACATTCTCAGTATTTACTTTCACATGGATCTTTTAACTGTTATGTTATGTAGATCTTACACTTTTATCGTGAACTGTATTTTTTGCAAGTATACTAATATTCAACATTTACATTATTTTCTGTGACAATTCTTGAAATATGCAGGCCCAAATACTATTATTAGGTGCTAATATTTAAGTTGGAACTAGTATTAAAGTAAGTAGACGTTCGTTTCGATGTTTTTTTTTGCGGTTGGATGTTATTTGAATAAATTTAACATAGTAAGTATTTGTTCTTTTGTTTGCGGGATTAGAATTCAACAAGTAAGTTCATAGATTGAATAATTCTTACTTTGTTAGTTGTATTGTAGTAATCAGTTGTGCAAAATGTGTATTGGGATCTGACCTGAATTCAATAGTTTGTTATATTATAGAATGGTTCAGTTGTTTTCATCGTTGAAATTCATTAAATAATTGCAATAAACATTATTCTTTCTTCCTTAATTTTCACCCTTAAAGGTTGTTTTTGTTTCTTCAAATTTAAATGGGACCAAAGAAGAACTGTACCCATTCAAATAAATATTTTTATTTCAGAATCAGTTCTTAAACAACGGAGTTCTGAGGTAACGAACATAAATAAAAAAAAAACAACAACCGAGTGACGTTTATGGACGATGACTATTTTTTTTAAGTGCAACTGTCAGTTCGACTGCGTCACTTTATGCCTCATAGACATCGATGGCGGTTAGTGACTGACGAAATTAGTCAGTCTGAATTTTGTTCAAGACTTTGAGATTTCAACGCAAATATTGTGAATTTTATTGAGGAAGCGAGTTACGACTGTGAAAGTTTCTCTTACTGCAACTTGACCTAACAGTCAACACAAATTCTTTTAAATATGTCTCTTTGTACTCGGTCGGCTATATGAGGTTACTTTACTTTTTTTTTTGTATTTTGACATTAATGATAAATAGTAATAAAATAAAATTAATTTGTCTACCAGCATGTGCGTGCTATGAAGTCTTAAGCGGTAAAAAATAAATGTTACTACATTATTATGAATTTTATTTCAATATATGCGTTTGTATTTTCCGATTGTTATATTATGTTTACTCTTGAAATCTCTTTTTATGCATGCTCCATTATCTAATAATTGATACAACATGCAAAACATTACTAATAACTAGAGTCATGTTTTTAAAACAAAATAAATAAAACAATCAAGTCTAACTTATATAATTTTTAAAAACCTTTTAAAATAAAAAGCTTTTACAAATACTTAAAATCAAAGTAAATAGATAAAGTTGTATAATAATAAAAAAATAAAACACTTACAAAGTTTGGCGAATCAATAGAGTTGATTTAGACATATTTAAACTATCTTGACACTTCACAGTTTTAAAATAAAAAACTAAAAGTTTAATAGTTTTAAATAAATTCACTTTTTCACAACAACAGACATATTGTGTTTACACAGATAACGATTTAAAAAAAATTAAAATTGCCGAAGGACAGTGTTGCCGTACAAGCGAGCTACTCGATAATGCATACAGAGATTGTACTCCCGGCGTTTATACTATACTGGTTTGACTAGTGATGTTAATAAGTGGCGATAATATTAAGATTGTGGTGATTTGATTGATGATTGATCATTAGTTGATTGATTTAGTTTGTGGAAGTCGGCGCTTGATATGCAATACCACCAGAGCCTCTTATATCTTTCAATAATTCAATTACACGATTACAAAAAATCTTTAGTGTCAGAATTTTTATTTTACTTCCTGGTTTGAAGTGCCAAAACTTAAAGCAGCAAGAATAAAAGCATTTGGTTTAAAAAACTTACTGTAATGTATTACTTATGATCTTATTACCCAAGAATTTTACATTGGACAATTTGTAAACCTAGTTGTTTTAAGAATAGAATGGTGTCCTAAAAAAACATCTCACAAGATGTAAAGTAGATGAAATACATAACAGCTTATTTGTACAAAATGAAGTAAAAAATCAATAAAATTATTCACGTACGATATATTAAACGATGTGTAACAACACTAATCAGCTAGCTTATTTTGTTTGTATCAATTTCAGCTACCGGGCAAGAGGTTATCTCCTGTATAGTATTACATTTTATCAGGGCTTTGAGTGGCAATATTTGCACTACATATATGTTATGAGTCAGAGTTTATCGACATGTAAACAATGCAGACGGTCACAGCACATCACTAGCGCGTGAACTCTACCATCCTTTGTTTACGTCCGATTCACTCATTGAACAAATTGTATTCAAGGATAAGGAATCAATTGTCAATTTATAAGATGTTTACTCTGTTAGTATAAAATATCTTTTAATGTTTTTATTGAGAATAATGTTACTTTTCAGTATCCGATTACTCATACTCTTTAAAATGTTTGTTATTCGCTAAGATTTAGAAAATAATTTTAAATCACTTGACGTTATCGGAATATTTGCGTTGATACTACGTGCCGAGTTGAGTCCACAAAAAAGGTTTTCTTAAATACAACTACATATTATATCTTAACATGTAGCGTCTTTATGCTTACCGCTGTTTACTTAAAATGTAATAATTAAGTTATTTGTCCTGTACTGTTTGTATCACATATATAAACAAACTATTAATTATTATTTTACAGAGAAAGAATATTGCCATAAAGAAGAAAACCAATAGAATAAATAATGGTTCCAAAAAAAAAAGTCTTATTGTTTTAAATCTATCAATGTAGGTTGAGTAACAGTACACTTAGTCCTTTGGTGTAATACTTTGAAAATACAAATTTCGAACAATAGAACATGCATGCATGCGTGACGTGAGTCTCGTTTCGTTCCATGTAATATTCGGCATCGCGGCCACCGAGGAGCCAGAAGCTGTGCCTACGTGAGTTATCTGACGTATGCCGATTTGTTGGGCGCACGCTCGTATCCCATATGTATGTAGTTAAGTGAAAGTGATCGTTATCTAGTAAGATAGTTCCAATTATTGCTTTATAGTGTTGTACAATAATTGTGAACGATACATGAATCATGCTGTTTATATTTGTTAAATATGAAATTAAATTCCTAATACTACGAGTAAAATATTAAGATCTTTATTTGGTGGTTTGTGTATTTTGTTTTTTGGCATACGGAGACAAACGGTCAGACGGGTCACCTGGGCCTCTATCGTTGCCCATCACCAGCAAGAGTTTACAATGGAATGGCAGAGCCTGTGCTATGTTAACCAGACTGCTGATAAACATACTAATATATTTCTAAATATATACACATTAAAGATTAATTGCACTAGACACAGAACAAATGATTGTGCCCACCCACCCAGTATGTGAGTTCGATTCCCAACCAGACGACCTCTGGATTAGCATCTCACTAACTGCTAGACCAAAAGGCCGGTCATTTTATGAGAGCTAAGCCATTACCGTTGGCGAAATCTGGTGTGATATCATTCATTTGGATAAAGTAATTATCATTACGAGATTATATTATCTTATCAGATTTGTAATTAATAAGTCATTATGATAACATTAACATAGATTAGTTGAGTATGATTTAAGCACCTAATTAAACAAGAATCTTTTGGCGCGTGCCGAGAATCAAAACCGCGGTTACAGATTTGAGTTTTTTCTTAATTCGGGTGTATTGTATATGTTTTCTCAGAATCCTGTGTTCATGAATTACGATTTGGAAAACTTTTTTATTTTGAGAGAGTGTATAATTTGCGTGTTGTCTCATTCATTAATCAAAATATCTAATGCGGAGGGTTAGATCGGCTTTTGGCATGGCGACGCATCGCGACGGCATGCGTCGCCACGCTATCTATGTAATGCGGTGTAACATTTATAAGCTGTCCTTTTATACTTATTATTTCTACAAAATTTGTGTTTAACATTTGTCAGATGCAAGACCACGATGAAATATAAAATATATTTATGTCAAGTTTTCTTTGATTGAGTGAGCGAGGTTACCGGAGCCTAAACCCTCCTCCCCCTGATTCTGGGGAGGACTCAAAGGGCTACAATGCATGTGTGACTAAAGGTGCAGGTGTGCATGGGAGGCGGTAATTACTTAAAATAATAATAAAAAAAATAATTTTATTTAAAGTCCAGATTTACATAATTTGTTTAACACTAGGCTTAGTGAGGCTATCATTACAAAAACGATTCAACATTTATACAGTAGCAATAATATTAGAATCTTTTATAAAGGGTAGGTACTTTTCATTTAGTCTAATTCATCCATCAACAGCCTTCAACAGTCCACTGCTAGAATAGGCCTCTCCTTAAAAAGGAGGTTTTGGCCTACTGTACTACGCTGGCCAGACGGTTTCTATCAACTTTCATTCTCTTTGCTGTTGTCCTGCGTAGTTTGCTCCCTTAGTCGGGTCTTACGACCTCCACGGGATGAATAGGAATGGTGACACTCTGTATTCTTAATCCGTCATCACACGGACAATCCCTTACCACAGGGACAAGTACTACTAGTTCCATTCATACTTAAAGATAAAATACTATCCGATCCCTAAGTGTCGAAATTGGGGATCAAAAAAGCCATGATGGAGGTCATCGAAGTTGTTGAAAATTTGCCCTCATATTATTTTACTATGAAACGGATCTGAAGGTTTAGAGCTTAGATTCTCCCCCTTGGAGACGGGCGGTTGTAGATCGGCACAGGCATTTAATCGATTTTCGATAGGTATAATTATATTATATTAAATTTATTTTGCTAAATATTTGACAAAATGGAGATTGTTGCTATTGTGTGTCTATGACTTTAGAGTCTACCTAAAGGACGATGTCAAACAATTTTTTTATTTTTATGACAAAGATATTTTGATTTTGAGTTTGAATAGCTTCACACACTAGGCAGTCTGGTCCCAACCTAGGCAAAGCCTGTAGGTACTATAGTAACAAACCTACTGATAAACCTATATATTTCTAAATACATATAGATTTATTCTAGCTATAAATATTTTTAGATAAATTACACCCAGACACACAACGAATGACCGTGTTCATCACATAATATTTGTTCTAAAATAGAACAGAAATTATCTGTACTTAAAAAAATTGAAAAGCGGAGCATCCTATGCCAGTATGCATTAGAGAATGGTTAAACACTAACATAGTTGGAGTACGCAATAAGGATAATTGCATTATGGCGTCTATTTTGTCCGAACCTATAAACAAACTACGACGTGTAATAAGATTTTCCTGTTTGGTTAGTGCACCATAGACTGCTGATAGAACTAATAATATAAAAAAACATGACTAGGCCTTGAAACTCTCGAGCACAATGCTAATTTTAACCGATTACTTCGTAACGTTTGCGTGGAATTTGAAAAGGGCTGCCTTAGTGGTGTAGTACAGTACGCGTTCATGAAGCCTCGGGTTCCATTCCCGGACCGGGCAAAACTTTATTGGGTTTTTCTGAGAGGAAAAATATCATGTTACTCCTTATATAGACAGCTACCTGGTAGTACAATATTATTAAAATACGTCCAGCCGTTTTGAAGATTACCCGGAACAAACAAACATACAGACAAAAATATTTAAACTGGATTTGAAGCATAGGTATCGTGCAAATAACCGTGTGATAATGAAAAAAAACGACCATTTTGACATTAAAAAACAGACATTTCAATTTTATTTATATGTATACATACTGTTAGGCTGGAACACAACGCCTACCACGATAGATATAGCAAAGTGTATGAAAGTGAAATAGAAATATTTTAATGACCTAAGAGCGTCATTATGAGTAGTATATTATATCATCAACAGCCTTTAATAGTCCACTACTGGACATAGGCCTCTCCTTAGAAAGGAGGTTTTGGCCTACTATACCACGCTGGCCAGACGGGTTGGTATAGGGTTTGTGTCTAGTTTTCCTTCTTTTTGCAGTGCTGGTGTCCTGCGTTGTTTTGCGCCCTTAGTCGGCTCATACGACACCCACGGGATAAATTGGGGTAGTGACATTCCGTATTCTTATTCCGTCACTACACGGACATACGGACGAGTATATTATATAGATATACGTAAGTCCTGTCAAGCCCTAAACATGGCCCTGAAGGTATAATAGCAACTTTTTAGCAACATCCTATGTAAAGTAATGATCATTTTGAGGGGATCTCTCTAAGAATATAAAAAGCAACTTGTAAGCATTATCTTCACATAAAAACATACTATGTTTTGCCACCATTTCTTGGCAATCCCAGGAACTCTGTTAGTTTAGTGGTTCGTATTGGCATTACGACGTGATTTTTGAAGTAAAACCTCTTTACGCACGCCTGACTTGGGGAGTAAGCTGGTGGATGCATGACGAGAGCGTTATGAAAAGTGTGATCAAGCGAGGCGAACG